ATATTGTGAGGTTTTCTGCCTTGTTGTTCTGGGTTATATGGCTGTGTGGAAGGGCCCTAAGGCCACTTCAACACAACCATATAAAATCCAGATTATCTGCTTTGAACTGGATTATATGGCAGTGTGGGCTCATATAATCCAGTTCAAATCAGATAATCTGGATTATCTGATTTGATAATCTGGATTATATAGCAGTGTGGATCCAGGCTGAGTATTTCTTGCTTGAGAGAACCCTATGAAATCCATGGGGGTGGCCATAGGTCATAGGAGACGTGAAAGCATATACACATGAATGAGAGACCTCCAAGTAAGTCTTTCTTCGGTTTCTTTCAGATTTAGGTCCCTGGGGGACAAGGAGGGTTTATTAAGTTCAGCACCAAAACCAAGTTTTGGGATGCCTCTCAGTTGGGAATGAATGACTTGGGGTGCTGGGGTATTGTGAAGTTTCGGGCGGATGGCTGTGCTCTAACAGCATTGTCTCCTGATGTTTCCCCTGCATCTGTGACTGGTATTTTAAGAGCATCCTCTGAAGATGCCAGCCATAGATTCTCTGTGCCAGCCATGGGGGACATGAGAGAAGCCTCCCCGCAGGATTGCAAGACATCCGGGCATCCCTTGGGGCCTGGGCAACGTCTTTGTACACAGCTGATTCTCTCACTCCAGAAGTGACCAGAAGCGATCACAACCAGATACAGTTAAGACATCTGCCCTTGCGCTAAGCTACTCTGCTGCTGAATATGCATGCCCAGTGTGGAACACATCTCACCACACTAAAACAGTGGATGTGGCTCTTAATGAGACATGCTGCATTATCACAGGGTGTCTGCGTCTTACACCACTGGAGAAGAGCAAACCACTGACCACCTGCTGCAATGCAACCCGAGCCCTGCTACATGCACAATGGAGGACCTCCTTGCGGCAACACCAGAGGCACTCCAAGTGGCCAGCTACTGGTCAAAGGACATTTAATAGAATAGCAAGTCTGCAAACTTTGTGTTTTGTATGTTTGTTTGCTTTTAATGCATTACAGCTGTTTTGGTTCACTCCTGACACGATAAATAAATAAATAAACAAGCCACAGATGCAGGCAAAACATCAGGAGAAAATGCTACTAAAACACAGCCATATAACCAAACAACACCCCAGTGATTAATGCCATGAAAGCCTTCAACAATACAGTGACTTGGGTGTATCTACACTGTGGAATGAATATAGCATGACACTACTTTATCTGTCATTACTCAATGCTGTGGAACTGTGGTAGATGTAGCTGGACAAGGTCTTCTCTGCCCAAGGCTATTTGTTGGTGCTTCACCAAACTCCAAGACCCAGGATCCCACAAGATTGAGCCTCAAAGTGCACTCATAAACTGGCCTCCAAGTGCACTCATTTTAGAGTGTAGATCCAACCTGGGAGCTGTCAACCAAGTCTTCCTCGCTCAGCCTTTTCACTGGTGGGCAGCCCACTTAAAACCACAGCACATCAATAACTCTAGACTGGTGCACTAAACATACACACCTCAGTGGAACTTAAGTTAGTTAGAGGTCATAGGTAGAACTGACCTACCTGTAACCGGTCCCATTGCATTCTACTTTGCCTTAGGAATGGATTCATAGAATCATAGAATCCTAGAGTTGGAAGAGACCTCATGGGCCATCCAGTCCAACCCCCTGCCAAGAAGCAGGAAAATTGCATTCAAAGCACCCCCAACAGATAGCCATCCAGCCTCTGTTTAAAAGCTTCCAAAGAAGGAGCCTCTACCACACTCCAGGGCAGGGAGTTCCACTGCTGAATAGTTCTCACAGTCAGGAAGTTCTTCCTAATGTCCAGATAGAATCTCCTTTTTTGTAGTTTGAAGTCACTGTTCCGTGTCCTAGTCTCCAGGGCAGAAGAAAACAAGTTCGCTCCTTCCTCCCTATGACTTCCTCTCACATATTTATACATGGCTATCACGTCTCCTCTCAGCCTTCTCTTCTTCAGGCTAAACATGCCCAGCTCTTTAAGCCACTCCTCATAGTTTCACCATTACAGATTAAAAGTTAGAAAATGTGTTTTTGGTGGTGAAAGCCATGTCTCTGCAGAAAAACAATGCCTATCAATCTCAAGGGTTGAAGGAAGAGGCTTCATCACAGCTTAATCTTTTGTATTAAGGATCCTTAAGAATGTGACATCTTTACTATTAGTAATGTTGGCATGGGAGCAAGGGTGGCATGACTATCCTCTCAGGATGCAGAATAAGAGTAGTGATGCTTTACCACCACTTTGTCCATGCCCAGATTAGAGGATCTGCAATTTCACTGCTAAAATAAGATGTCATCATAATACATGCCACTATTATCTCCCTTCTACATGCCTAGCTCTTTAAGCCGCTCCTCATAGGGTTTGTTCTCCAGACCCTTGATCATTTTAGTCGCCCTCCTCTGGACACATTCCAGCTTGTCAATATCTCTCATCTCATGGCTCATCCAAGTAGCAATAATAAGGGAGCCTGTCAGTCAAAGAGGGAAAGGGGTGGATGGGAAATGGGGAAGGACTGTTCATATAAATAGCCTGTTTTCAGCTTGCATTATCCAACTAGAGCTGAAGGGGAGGCAAAGAGTCTACCTCCCATCTGAAACCGTATGCTGCAGGATTCTGGGGCTTGTAGTTTAGTGAGATGGAGGACCTCTCCGGCTAAGCAGTTTAAAGGCCCCTCCCTGAAACTACAAGCCCCAGAATCCCGCAGGAAGCAGCCACGGGGTTTTAGATGGGATGCAGACTCTTGCAGCTCTAGTGGGATACAAGATGTAACCCTTTCTGGCTCCCCCGTTGTTTCTTTCGCTCTCCAGATGCTCCAATAGCGTCCTCTTCATCGTGCAATATCCTTCAACGGGAGGTTGGTTCGGGGCTTAAAAAATGACAGCTGCGTGGATCAAACTAACCCCTCATTTCAGGGGGAAAGAAAACCCCCTCGAAAGCGGCATCCGAGCCCATCTTCAAGCGAACCCTTCGCCAGCTTTCCAAGGCGATAACTGGAGCGGAGGGAAAGAGACACCCTCAGGCTTGAGGTGGTTTTGGCGCCCCCTTTTGGGCACGAAAGGCTCCTACTGAGGATCAAAAATGGTCAACCTCAGAATTGGGATTGAGCGAGGCAATGGGGAGAGACAAGAAGGGAGAAGAGTGAGGGAGAAAGAGAGAGGGAAGTGAGGCTGCTTCGCTCTGTCTCCTTTCCCAACAGCCTTTAAGACCAATGTGGTAATTTTCCCCACACTATTTCCCCTTTCCTTCCACCCTGGGAATGGAAGACGGGAAAAGCCCTCTCAGGAATAGGAAAAAAAATCGAGGGGAAAAGGGATGTTCAAAGGGAGGGGAATTATACAGAAAGTCGAAGTTTTACCACACTGGGAATGGAAGGCAGGAAGAGCGCCTTCTGAGGAATGGGACAAGAACTGAGGGAAAGGGCCACCGCAAGGAGTTCACACTTGCAATGGAAGGCGCTGACAGCTGTGGAGGAAAGACAAAAAGGAGGGAGAGTGAGTGAGGAAAAAAGAGGGGGGGAGAGAGAAAAGAGATGAAGAGAAAGGGGGAGAAAGAGCTAGAGTAAAGGGATGGAGAAGTGGGAGAGAGAGAATAGAGAAAAAGAGGGAGAGAGACACAGAGGAGGGAGAGAAAAAGAAATGAGAGAAGAGAGAAATTAGGGAGAAAGTGAATGAGGGAAGGAAAGAGAGGAGAGAGTAAATGAGAGAAAGGGATGGGAGAGAGGAAAGGGGGAAGAAAGAGAGAGAGAAGGGAGAGAAAAGGAAATGAGGGGAGAGAGAGAGAAAGAGGCAGAGGGAGGAAAGAGAGAGAAAGGGGGAGAAAGATAGAGGGGAGGGAAAGAAAAAAAGGAGACAAGGAGAGAATGAGAGAGGGGAAAGAGAGAAGGCGGATAGAAAAAGAGTTGAGGGAAGCGAGAAATGAGGAAGAAAGAGATAGAGGAGGAAAGAGAGAAAGGGGAGAGAAAGAGATGGGAGAGAGGAATGAGGAGGGGGAGAAAGAGAGGGAAAGGAGAAAAAAGAAACGAGGGGAGAGAGAAAAGAGGGAGAAAGACACAGAGGGAGGAAAAGAAAGAAAGAGAGAAAGGTGGGGAAAGAAACGAGGGAGAAAGACAGAGGGGAGAGAAAGAAAGAAAAAGAGACTCAGGAGGAGAGATAGAGATGAGAGAGGAAAGCGAGAAGAAAAAGAGATGAGGGAAGCGAGAGATAGGGGAGAAAGAGATAGAGGGGTGAAAGAAAGGGGGGAGAGAAAAGGGGAGAAATAGATGGGAGAGAGGAAAGGGGGAGAAGAGAAAAGGGGAGAGAAAAAGAGATGAGGGGATAGAGAAAAAGAGGGAGAAAGACAGGGGAAGGAGAGAAAGAGAGAAAATGGGACGAGGATAGAGAGAAATGAGGGAGAAAGGGAGGGAAGGGGAGGAAAGGGGGAAAGAGAGAAGGGGATAGAAAAAGAGATGAGGGGAGAGAGAAATGAGGGAGAAAAAGATAGAGCGGAGGGAAAGAGAGGGGAGAGAGAGAAAGAGATGGGAGAGAGGGAAAGAAAGAGATGAGGGGAGAAATAAAATGAGCGAAAAAGCGATGAAAGGGAAGAAGGCGAGACGTGGGGAGAGGGAGAAGCGAGGCTCGCTTCTCCCTGCTTCTTTGCCCAACTGCTTTCAAGCCCAACGTGGTTTGTGTTTTCGAGCAGTCTTTGCCTAGCTTCCCCCCGCATCCCTTCTCCTACAAACTCAGCCCTGGACGACGAAGGGACAGGACTGGGGAGCCCCACCTGCTCCTCCCACTCCCTCCCCATCACCTCCCCCCTAAGAGAGAGAGAGAGAGAGCCGGGCCCCTCCCTGCTTCCCCTCCTTGGCGTTGCCCCCGTTCCGCCTCGAACTTGCTGCCATCCATAATTCATGGGCTCCCAGCAGGAGCAGCGGCGGTGGGAAAGAAGGGGAGCAGGCGAGGGGAGCAGAGAGAGGGGGGGAGAGGGGAGGGGCGCAGGGAGGTTAGGGGGAGGAGCGAAGGAGGAAGAGGAGGCAGGGGCAGCAGCAGCAGCAGCAGTGGCGACGGAGCAGCGGAGTAGTTATCCAGCAGGCAGCAAGAGGAGCAGCGGCGGCGGCGGCGGCAGGAGGAGCAAGAGGAGCGGAGGCAGCGTGGCGCGCGCTCCTCCTCCTCCTCCCCATCAGCAGCGTTGCGCGCGCTCCTCCCCGGCTTTCCCCGTCGCCATGTCCCCGCCGCGCGCGGCAGCCGGCTCGGAGGAAGACACGGGAGGATGAGGACGAGGCGGCGGCGAGGAAGGAGGCGGCGGCGGGGAGGAGGCGGCGGCGGCGGAGGAGGAGGAGGAGGAGGAGGCGTGGGAGAGGAGCGGGCGGCGGCGGCGGAGGATGAAGTGGGGCGCCCGGGGAGCCTGCGCCGCGCTCTCCAGCTGCCTCCTCCTCGCCTGCGCCCTCAGCGCCGCCGCCGTGGGCCTCAAGTGCTTCTCGCTGGGCTCGGAGCTCAAAGGGGAGCCCTTCCGCCTCGGCTCTGCCGCCGGCGCCTTCTACTCGGGGCTGCTCCTAGCCGCCGGCCTCTCGCTCCTCGGGACTGCGCTCTTCTGCTGCCGGGGCGCCGACGAAGCGGACGCGGAGGCCCATTCCCCTCGAGGAGGAGGAGGCGGCGGAGGAGGCAACGCGGTGGTGGCCGTCCCCGTGAGCCACGGCAGCCGCGGAGACGAGCCCCGCCCCTCCCCTCCGAAGGTCTCCCCCGGCGGGAGGCAGAACTTCCTCCTCCTCGGGGTGCTCGTCTTCATGCTGGGCGTCTTGAGCGCCTTCGCCGGGGCCGTCATCGACGGCGACACGGTCTCGCTCGTGGAGAAGAAGTACTCGCACTACTGCCTCCTGCAGGCGGCGGGAGGAGGAGGGGCATCCAATCGGGCCAAACCCGACGGCGGAGCCTCCTCTGCATCCTCCTCTTTGGCGGCGCTGCGTTGCCAGAAACTGCGGGACTACCAGCGCGGTTTGGTCATCTCCACCATCTTCAACGCCTTGGAGTGCCTCCTGGGGCTGCTCAACCTCCTCCTGGTGAAGAACTACAAGGCGGCGCAGCAAAGAGGGGCGAGGAGACGGCAGCAGAGGAGGCCCGAGGCCTCGCACTTCTCCCGAAGGAGGAGAAGGCGGAGGCGGAGGAGGAGAGGGGAGGCAGCAAGAGGAGAGGCCGCCAGAGGAGGGGCCTCCATCTTCTCCAGCGAGGAGCCCGACCTCTCCCCGGGGGTGCCTTGCCCCTTCCAAGCCGTCTCCTACATCAACGTGGGCGTCTTCCACGTCTTCGACGAGGCTGGAGTGGAGGTCCACTGCGGGGGCCACCCTTCCGTGGAGCTGCCGGGCTACTCGCCGATGGACCCGGAGATGGACGCTTCCTACCCGTACTGCGCCCCCTTGCCGCACGAGCAGCCCCCCGCCTACGAGGAGATCTACCCACGAGAAAGCGCGACACACCGGCTCTAGTGGGGCATTTCCCTTCCCAAAAGGAGCCCAGGACAGAGACCCCAGGCCCTTGGATCTGCCAACCATTAGGGAGCTTTCTCCGCGCTCTTGGGGCCTGCTTGCTCTTTTCCAGAGCTGGAGTTGGGGAAAGTTGCCCGCCTTTGGCCACCTGTTGACGTCACCGAGGATGCTCCTCTCCTCCTCTCCCCCCCCCCCCCCCCCCCCCCCCCCGCGCCACTCAGGCGTGGCCATCCCTGCTCCCTCCTGAGTCACTCTTTTCAATGGGGATTTGGGATTGGATTTGGAAGATCTGGCTGGAATCTCGCATCTCCCAACAACATCCCCGATGTTGAAGATTTCAGAGGTTAGGAAGTTTGGGATTGGACTTGGAATCTCGCCTCTCTCTCTCCAGCATCCCAAATGGGGAATATTTCAGGGTTTAGGAAGCTTCAGATTGGACTTGGAAGGTCTGGTTTGGAATCTCGCATCTCCAGCATCCCCAGCGTGGAGCGAATATTTCAGGGCTGTGTCCTCTCCCATCTGGCTTGGATTTTTTGGTTTGTTTTGGCAGTCCTCTCTCTCCCCCAATTGAATCTTCATGATAATCTCAGCATTGTGTTCACTGGGTTGCTGTGAGTTTTCCGGGCTGTACGACCATGTTCCAGAAGCATTCTCTCCTGGCGTTTTGCCCACATCTATGCCAGGCATTTTCAGAGATTGTGAAGTCTTGTCGAAGGCTTTCATGGCCGGAATCACTGGGTTGTTGTAGGTTTTTTCGGGCTGTATGGCCATGTTCTAGAGGCATTCTCTCCTGACGTTTCGCCTGCATCTATGGCAAGCATCCTCACTCACTACCTCTGAGAATGCTTGCCATAGATGCAGGCAAAACGTCAGGAAAGAATGCCTCTAGAACAGTGTTTCTCAACCTGGGGGTCGGGACCCCTGGAGGGGTCACGAGGGGGTGTCAGAGAGGTCACCAAAGACCACCAGAAAACACAGTATTTTCTGTTGGCTATGGAGGTTCTATGTGGGAAGTTTGGCCCAATTCAATCATTGGTAGGGTTCAGAATGCTCCTTGATTGTAGGTGAACTATAAATCCCAGCAACTACAACTCCCAAATGTCAAGGTCTATTTTCCCCAAACTCCACCAGTGTTTATATTTGGGCATATTGAGAATTCGTGCCAAGTTTGATCCAGATCTATCATAGAATCCACAGTGCTCTCTTGATGTAGGTGAACTACAACTCCCAAAACCCTTCCAGTATTTTCTGTTGGTCATGGGAGTTCTGTGTACCAAGTTTGATTCAGTTCCATCATTGGTGGTGTTCAGAATGCGCTTTGATTGTAGGTGAACTATAAATCCCAGCAATTACAACTCCTGCAGGACAAAATCAATACCCTTCCCCAATCCCACCAGTATTCAAATTTGGGTGTATTGGGTATTTGTGCCAAATTTGGTCCAATGAATAAAATACATCCTGCATATAAGATATTTACATTACTATTCATGACAGCAGCAAAATGACAATTATGAAGTAGCAATTAAACTAATTTTATGGTTGGGGGTCACCATAACATGAGGAAGCGGATTAAGGGGTCGTGGCATTAGGAAGGTTGAGAACCACTGCTCTAGAACATGGCCTTATAGCCCGAAAAATCTACAACAACCCATTGTGAAGTCTGTTGGAAACTGGGTAAACTGTCTATATATCTGTGGAATGTCCAGGATGGAAGAAAGAACACTTGTCTGCTCGAGGCAAGTGTGAATGTTGCAATTGGCCACCTTGATTAGCATCTGTGTCAGGCATCCTCAGAGGTTGTGAGATCTGTTGGAAACTAGGCAAGTGGGGTTTATATATCTGTGGAAAGTCTAGGGTGGGAGAAAGAACTCTTGTCTGCTCAAGGCAAGTGTGAATGTTGCAATTGATCACCTTGATTAGCATTGAATAGCCTTGCACCTCCAAAGTCTGGCTGGTTGCTGCCTGAGGGAATCCTTTCTTGGGAAGTGTTAGCTGGCCCTGACTGATTCTTGTCTGGAATTCAAAGCCTGGCTGGTTGCTGCCTGATGGAATCCTTTATTGGGAGGTGTTAGCTGGCCCTGATTGATTCTTGTCTGGAATTCCTCTGCTTTTTAAGTGTTGCTCTTTATTTACTGTCATTATTTTGGAGGTTTTTTTTAAAATACTAGTAGCCAGATTTTGTTCATTTTCATGGTTTCCTCCTTTCTGTTGAACTTGTCCACATGTCAACAAAGGATAATAAATAAATGATAAACTTTATTTATAACCCACCACCATCTCCCCAAAGGGGCTGACATGAGGCCAAGCCCAAAATAAATAACATAAATTAGACACAAAATAGCAAAGAAATACATCATAACAAAAATATATAAAATAACAAAATAAAATAAGGTAAAGGTTGACCCCTGACATTAAGTCCAACCATGTCTGACTCTGTGGTGTGGTGCTCATCTCCATTTCTAAGCCGAAGAGCTGGTGTTGTCCATAGACACCCCCAAGATCATGTGGCCGGCATGACTGCATGGAGTGCTGTTAAAATAAAATAGACAATATAAAATGGCATAATAAAATCAAACACAAAGGGAGGGCCAGATGTGTGAGATAAAATGTTAAAAGGTTAAAACCCTGGGTGAGATAGGAATAAAAAGTGCATTTATGAGAGAGGAGTCCGAGAAGGAGGAGCAGTGGGGTTTGGCCTTTATAGGGGGCAGGCGAAGGTGCTTTATCATAAGGACAACTGTAGGTGGAAACCAACAAATGAGTTGAGTGGTCTCTCTCCAAAGGCACATCAGCCAACCAGCCAGGTTTAGAAGCTGCACGGCCATTAAATGCTAATCAAGGTGATCAATTGCAACATCCACACTTGCCTCAATCAGACAAGAGTTCTTTCTCCCATCCTGGACAGAGGCTGGATGGCCATCTGTCGGGAGTGCTTTGAATGCATTTTTCCTGCTTCTTGGCATGGCCCACGAGGTCTCTTCCAACTCTATGATTCTGTGATTCTTTCTCCCTCCCTGGACATTTCACAGATATATAAACCTCACTTGCCTAGTTCCCAACAGACCTCACAACCTCTGAGAATGCTTGTCATAGATATGGGCTAAATGACAGGAGAGAATGCTTCCAGGACATGGCCACACAGCCCAGAAAACTCACAGCAACCCAATCTCAGCTTTAAAGGAGCAAAAATGTATCAACCAGATTTGAACAGTAGCAGCAACAAGATGTGAGGTTTTTCTTTTTCTCTCTCTCCAGCCAATCTATTCCTAACCACAAAGAGAGACAAGAGAGCAGTTGCAGACACAACCTCTTTCGTTTACAAAATTTCAGAGAAAAGTTTTTAAGCTGTAGGGAGAGTTGAAACCATCCTTGTAAGATGCACATGATGATAAACCTGCACTTTTCGAAAGGAGGGGCGACGGGGAGGGAGGGGGAAATCAATGGCAACATTTTTGTACACTAATGTGCCTGCTTTTCTTTTTGGTTGATAATTTCTTACTGTAAAAGCTTTCAAGAAGTCTGTAGTGAAAATGTTTGGTAAAGTCATTGCAACGTAAAATTAACCAATCAGTTCCTTTTCCGGAAATAGAAAAAAAAAACACTACCTGGAGCTGAAGGAAAGTCCAAATGTCTCATACATTCCTTTTTGTAAACAGGTTCCGTGTTTTTAAAGCAAAGCAGGGCTTATATTTATTTTTAATTTTTTTGGTTTCCAAACCGTTTGACCCTCTTTTGTACAAGTACAGCCAGTTATTCTTGTAAGTACTTTCATTTCAGTGTTAACAAATTAATCTGAGAAGCTTGAATATTCAGTTTTTTAATTTAAATATAAATACATAAATATATATAAATAAATCTATATATAATATATTATATATGCTTTAAACAGCCTTAACTGATGATCACCATTTTCAGTGGAGTTGTTAAAGATTCCTTCAAAGTATATTTTCCCCCCAAAAAAATGCCTTTCAAACCAAAAAAAAACTCAACAAGTTTAAAATTAATAATAAAGGGAAAGGTTTCCCCTTGACATTAAGTCTAGTCCAGTGGTTCTCAACCTGTGGGTCTCCAGGTGCTTTGGTCTACAACTCCCAGAAATCTCAGCCAGTTTACCAGCTGTTAGGATTTCTGGGAGTTGAAGGCCAAAACGTGGGGATCCACAGGTTGAGAACCACTGGTCTAGTCGAATCCAACTCTGGGGGGTGGTGCTCATCTCCATTTCTAAGCTGAAGAGCCAGCTGTCCATAGACGCCTCCTAGATCATGTGGCCAGCATGACTGCATGGATCACTGTTTTCTTCCCGCCAGAGCGGTATCTATTGGTCTACTCATGTTTTCATGTTTTTGAACTGCTAGGTTGGCAAAAGCTGGGGCTAACAGCAGGAGCTCACCCCGTCCTGCAGATTCGAACTGCCAACCTTCTGGTCAGCAAGTTCTGCAGCTTAACAGTTATACCTGCTGCACCCAAAATTAATAGGACTGAACAAAAATATCTTACTTATATTGGAGTGGTTAATCTATTTTATCTATACATTTAAACCAAAAAAGCTATATTTATGGTCAAGCCATATGTGATATGGGAGACCCATAATCTGATCTCAATGGGGGAGGGGTTCCCATTATTTCTTTTTTTTTCTTACAAACCTTTTAAACAGGTGCAAGAAACTCCAAATAATGCTGGGATTAAAAAGAACCACTGGAAAAATAGTGTGGATGAATTTCCTGCTTATTCTTTTTCTTAGTGACATTTTCCTGATGTCAATAATACCACTCCCCCCCCCACCCCCTTTTTGGCTTCTCGCCCCATAAGGAAATACTGTATTTCTCTTTGCAAGGCTGAAAACAGAATTAAGAGCAGTGTATAGATTTATCAAATTATATGAAGCAAAAGAGTAAAGCACACTGTACCATTGATCTGATCAAATCCAGAGCCTTCTGTGCCTATTTTAAAGTAAATGAAAGAAATGTGGGGAGATCCGGATATAGATCTCCTGTCTCAAATGTGCTTTAGGTTTAAGTCGGCTAGAGATTGTTAGAGAATCAGATAGCACAATGAAGGTAATTAACAGAAATCACTTTGGAATACTGGCATAAAAGGGTAAGATTTAATTTAGAATTACATGAAAGGAGGAAAAGAGAGGTGTTTCGGCTCATATTATCCACCTATTATGCCAACTAATGTGTTGAATTCTATTTAAAACTCAACCTCTTCATCATCTGAGCTGGGATGTCTCATTTTGCTTATGTTTCTTTGTAAAATACCATGTACTCTGAAGGCGCTATATAAATAATTTTTAATAATAATTCATCTTGGAGCCTGCTGTGGAATGCGAGCATCATCAATACAAGAGGAAAACAGTTTTGTCCTTTTGGGGAAGGGAGGGGGGGAAAGATGTACAGAAAGTTATTTTTTAATTAAGGAGCTAAACAAAGCAAAAGTGCGGCCTTGTTGAAAACAACAACTACCAGAAGAGATCAACCCAACTGCAGTGAAAGCCTCTTTACACGACTTTGCTATCGGAAGTTGTTTTTGACTTGCACCGTTTGTATAACATAAAATGCAAAATGCCTTAGAACATTTAAAACTATAACTTTCAAAACTTCTCAAAATATTTAACCTTTAGAACTCGGTCAAAAGCAACACATCCAGTTTGCTAAGTAGCTTCGGATTTTTAGAAAGCTAGAGC